TTTTTTTCCCTTTCCCTTTTGGTTGGCACCGCCAGCCGTTTTGGTCCCGTAGCATACTGTTCATCGGAACTTTTCGGAATGACTCGTTTTCAATTCTCAAGTTTTGCCTGTGCAGCGTACTTGCAGTTTAAACTTTAAACTGGCGTTCCCATTTGTCGATTGTCTATCCGAAATCCTCAAAAAGAGGCTCTGCCCTCGTTGGCCTGTATAGGTGCTCAAACAAATTTCAACAAGTGTTCAACGAGTGTTCAATGAGTGTTCAGTCGGTGTTCAATCAGTGTCGAAATCAGTGTTCAACCAGTTTTCATTCAGTGTTTGCCCAGGGTTTGATCCATGGTTACGCTGAGCCAGGACACTGGACCAGTCCAGATGTCCGGCTGGGCCTGTGTCTGGACTGCTCCAGATATCTGGCCAGACATGTGTCTGGACTGCTCCACAGACCGTCCGGACTCCGGATTGAAAAAACACGTTTTTTTTTCAATGAAAAAAACGCTCTTATGCGAGGATTTGAGTCCTCAGCAGGCTCATATCTGGGGCCCTACAAAGCCTTGTACACGCCCTAACTGAAGGTGGGCCCTGTATCTCAGAGAGGCCTGAGTATTGCAAAATTTGTCCGGCCAGACGTGTGTCTGGACTTCTCCAGACCGTCCGGATTGAAAAAGCCCGTTCTTTTAATGAAAAAAAGTTAAAAGAACGTTCTTATGTGAGGATTCGAGTCCTCGGCAGGCTCATATCTGGGCCCCTACAAAGCCTTGTGCCCGCCCTAAGTGAAGGCGGGCCCTGAATATTGCAAAATTTTCCAGCCCTAGTCGGCGCCAGACAGTTACCACATGCCAATTGGTTACATGTGCCCTGCTCGCAAGCATCAGAATTTTCCGTGAGCCTTCTAGGCTCTTCTGTTCTTGGCTCGGAAACTGGCCTCTCGGCCTATCAGGAAGCACAGGGAAAACCTCACTTGGCGCTGGGTGGTTGGGCGTGCCTAACTGCTGGGGGCCCAGGCCACCATCTGAACGGGCCTGGGTGTAGACACTTTGGCCCAACATGAAGCTACAGGGCACATGGGCCTCCCAGTAGAGAAGTCAACAGGCCCGACCGCTTTCTGTATAGGAAAGGGTCAGGCGACTGGTGAAGCATTCAGGCGCTTGCCTCCTGTGCGGCAGCGCTGCTGGCCTGAGTGCTCAGAGGCCGCTAGTGGAAGTGTCAGGCGAGCACGGTCGTCAGGTGGTGGGCGCTGCGTGTAAGCAGCACCATAGCTCAGTCGCCATAGCCGGGCTTGAGCTAGTGGGAAGCCAGTGGGAGTGGTGGTGGTCTTCGGAAGTGGAGGAGAAGCAGTGGGTGAATACGAGGGTGAGCATTGAGAGGGCGAGTGAGGGAAAAGATGTGAGAGCACATACCTCGTCCTGGCGGAGGTCTACATGGTCGACATCTGCATGTTCGTTGGTTGCTGCTTCTGACGTCAACTGGTTGCTTTGTTATTCTTGTAGGCTACTACAGTAAGTAGCTGTAAGACCGTTGTCTGGGAGCTGAGTGCCAATAGGGGAAAGAGCTTTGGGTACATTGTAGGTGGAGGCAAAGAGGGCTTTCATTGACAAGTTAGTTCACTGCTTCGGTTCTCCTTTGGTGTGATATCATCATATCAGCGCATTTCTACTTTCTGGACGGACAGCTTACGACTTTCTGGCTGTTAATGTGATTTTGCAATTTGGAATTCTGTCATTTGACTCATTTCGCTATTGCTCATTTTCCTTGCA